CTTACAGGTAGAGGAGAAGGGGCAGGCAGTTCTGGTTCCCTAAATTGCATCAATGGACAGTTTCTGGGACAGGGAAGTGGAAAAAAAAATCACTGATGGCAAGGTGGAAACCTTCCGGGTCTTATTTCTCATGAAAGTCACTTACCACCATCTAGTGGTGAGGCTTGGTAAGACACTCAGGTTTTTTTTTTTTAAAATTATTTTTTGTTTTAAAGATGTGGGGTACAATTTGGGGTTAGGTACATAAGTGGTCATCGTGCCGGTAAAGTTTGGGTACTCTTATTGTTGTTAGGTACCTCCCTTTCCCTCCTCTGGCAGTGTCCCACTACTGCCAGTTGCTTTCTTATAGTGTTATGATAAATGTAATACTCCAATTTTTGTTTCTTTGACAAATCACTGAGACCTTGGACCCTGAAGCATCCGGGGTCCTAAGGAGATTAAGAGGGAGGGGGCTACTCTCTCCAGATGTGGCTTGCTGTCAGAACCCTGCCTGGGTCCTGCCCTCTGGTCCATGCAGAAACATAACAGGATGAAATTCAAGTTGGCACGTGACCATTGACTACTGCTCTTCTCTTCTTTTCCTGACCCCTCCTGTCCCTTTACTTGTCTGTTTTCCCTTTCTGGAAGTCCCCTTCCTTCCTCAACACTCTGGACTAGCCCCACCTCCTCTGGGAAGCCTTCTTTCTCTGTGTTTTCCCCCCACCGACCCTGGACACATGTCATCCGCTGGACTGTGAGCTCCTGGGGGGGGCTGTGTCTCATTCTCTGGTGACTAGGTTGGTGTGGGCGGCACTTGATGCCCTGCCAAGGTGGCTCCCATCAAGGGTATCATCTTAGCCCCGTTCAGTTCCACATGTAGGGCTCTTAATGTTTTTCCAGAACATTCTTTTCTTTTTTGAGTCAGAATCTCACTCTGTTACCTAGGCTGGAGTACAGTGGCACACTCACAGCTACTGCAGCCTCAACCTGCTGGGTTCAGGTGATCCTTTCGCCTCAACCTCCCAAGTAGCTGGAACTACAGGTGTGCACCACCACGCCTGGCTAATTTTTTGATTTATTGCAGTGACGAGGTCTCACCAAGTTGCCCAGACTGGTCTTGAACCCTTGGACTCAGGCAGTCCTCTCACCTTCACCTCCCAAAGTGCTGGGATTACAGGCATGAGCCACTGCACCCAGCCAAGAACATTCTTCCTTCTGATGAGCACTTTAAACTATTGAGCTATAAAAACCACACTGACATAGACATCAGTCCAGTTTCGTAAACCAAGTCATCACTTCACTGGATGCTGCGGGTTCTGGGTTGATTCAACAGAATCCCATAGAGCAGTGGTCCCCAGCCTTTTTGGCATCGGGGACCAGTTTCATGGAAGACAATTTTTCCACAGACTTGGGATGCTTTGAGCATGTTACATTTATTGTGTACTTTATTTCTGTTATTATTATGTTGTAATATATAATGAAATAATTATTATGAAATTATTTTAGTATGGGCTGCAAGCAATTGATTTATTGTAGTTTCGGTGCAGTTAGACCTCACTGCTCATGTTAGTCTGTATTTGCAGCCTCTCTCCTGTGCTAGCATCACTGCTTCAGCTCCACCTCAGATCATCAAGCATTAGATTTCATAAGGAGCAACCTAGACCTCTTGCATGCACTGTTCACAATAGAGTTCATGAGAAATTTGATGCTTCCACTGATCTGAGAGAAGGTGGAGCTCAGGTGGTGATGCGAGTGAGGGGAATGACTGTAAACAAAGATGAAGTGTCACTCACCTCCTGCTGTGCAGCCAGCTCCTACCTGTCCTGCTTGGCCCCGGGGTTGGAGACTCCTGGCACAGAGCATCTGCTGCCAGTTAAAGGTTGGAAGGTGCCCACAGGCATGTGTGAACCCTCTGCCCAGGGCATCTGGCCTTTAAAACATGCATCCAGGCCAAGTGTGATGGTTTACACTTGTTGTCCTAACACTTTGGGAGGCCAAGGCGGGGAAGGACTGCTTGTACCCAAGGGGTTTGAGACCAATCTAGGCAAAAAAAAAAAAATTAACTGGGTGGGGTGGCATCTGTAGGCTGTAGTTCCAGCTACTCAGGAGGCTGTGGTGGAAGGGTCACCTGAGCCCAGGAGGTCGAGTTTCATTCTGCATGTGGTTAGCCAGTTTTCCCAGCACCATTTGCTAAATATGGTTTCCTTTCCTCAATGTTTGTGGTTGATGGCTTTGTCAAAGGTGAGATACTTGAGGGACCATGTTTTTATTTAATTATTTGTATTCTTATTTTATTTTGTTTTTTAAGAGACAAGGTCTTCCCACTACTACCAATCCCTTTCTTATAGTATTATGGTAAATGTTCAGGGTCTGCTTATAAGTGAGAACATGTGGCACTCAGTTCTTTGTTTCTGCGATAGATTACTCAGTATTATAGAATCTAAATCCATCCAAGTTGCAAAGGGTGGCCCAGACTTTACCTGTATCATGTCCACTTGTATAATCCTGAATTGCACATCACATCTTTAAAATAAAAGAAAAGAAAAAAAGAAAAAAAAAGAGACGAGGTCTTGCTATGCTGCCGAGGCTGATCTTGAACTCCTGGGCTCAAGCAATCCTTCTGCCTTATATTTTTATTATGGAACATTTCAAACAGAAAAATGAGAGAACAGTCTCATGAGCCTTCAAGTCCCCTCCCTGACACGTGACCCCTCACATTATCCACACCCATGCACTCCCCGCGCTCCAGGTAATTCCAATGCTTCTCTGAGACTTAGCCTCAGAGAGGTCTTTTAAACCCACTGATTTCTTCGAAGCATTTCCTAGAGAGTGTGGATGCTGGTGTGGGTGAGAAGCTGTGGCTGCCCCAGGACTTAGGGGGTGTGACTTGGCATTTGACCTGCAGGTGACTGTTTGGATCAAGATTTGTTATTTAAAATGAGGAATAGAAACCCAGTCAAACCAGCTGAAACAGGCAGGGCCCTCTTGTTTTATTCTGCAATGATTTCGGGCCACGGAAAAGTTGCAAAAATAGCATAGAGGCATCCAATATACCATTTCCCACAGCTTCACCACATGTTAACACTTAGTGACCTCAGGAGAAGGACGGGACCTCTTGTACTGAAGTCCCACCGGCTCCCCCACTCATGTCTGTTCCTGGTCCAGGTCCCACTCACAGTTTAGGTGTCATGGTTCGTCCCCTCCCGTCTGGGGCAATCCCTCAGTCTTTCTTTGTCTTTCATGACCTTGATGCTTTTGAAGAGTCCAGGCCAGTGACTGCGTAGAACCTTGCTCTGTTTGATTTTCTGTGATGTTTTCTCAGGATTAGACAGAGGGTCTGCATTTTTGGTAAGAACCCTGTGGAAGGGATGTTGTGTCCTCAGTGACGGCATTGTGTGACTGTGTCTTCATACAGGTGATGTTCACTTTGATCGTTTGGTGAGAGTGGTGTCTGCCAGGTTTTTCTCCATTGGAGAGTTCCTTCCTTCCTTCCTTCCTTCCTTCCTTCCTTCCTTCCTTCCTTCCTTCCTTCCTTCCTTCCTTCCTTCCTTCCTTCCTTCCTTCCTTTCTTCTTTTTTGAGTCAGAGCCTCACTTTGTCGCCCAGGCTAGAGTAGAGTGGCACATTCACGGTCACTGTAGCCTTGTCCCACTGGGCTCAGGTGATCCTCCTGCCTCAGTCTTCCAAGTAGCTGGAACTACAGGCATGCTCCATCACGCCCAGCTAATTTTTTGATTTATTATAGAGACGAGGTCTTTCCAAATTGCTGAACCCCTGGGCTCAGGCAATCCTCTTGCCTTCCTCTGCCTCCCAAAGTGCTGGGATTACAGGCATGAGCCACAGTGCCCAGCCTGTTATTCTTTTTCAAAGGAGCAGTTATGAACAGCTGTTTGTGAAACCTGAGAGCAGGTGTGCGGCAGGTATAGGGACCAGACAGCTGCTCCCTCCATCTCCCTCCCCTCCTCTCCCCCTCTTGCTCTCTCATCTGTGTCCTTCTCTTTAGCGTTCCTCTCTGCCTGTCCAGAGAATTGCTTTTCCCGACTTCTCCATGCCCATCATGAGAGATCGCTGCTGCAGAGTGGCATCTTCAGACCCCGTCTCTGTGTCTGGATCTGGAGCCTGCACCCACTTGCTGCTATTTCTGAAATCCTGTTCTGTATTCCCAGGAGATAGGCCAGCCTGGATCACGATCACCCCTGAGCGTTTCATAGCTCTGGACAGGAGAGTGGGGTCACCTTGCTCCCAGGACCCTTTCTGGGGGTGGAGTGGGACAGCTGTCAGACAAAGGGATGACACAGGCTGGACAGACGTCTTCCAAAGTGCTTAGTATGTATGCTTTTTCTTCCCTCTGTCTGCAACAGATTGATGTCTGAGCACCTCTGGAGGCTACGCTTTTATTTTTATTTTATTTGGGGTCTCACTCTGTCACTCAGGCTGGAGTGGTATGATCACAGTTCATCACAGCTTTGACCTCCTGGGCTTAGTGATCTTTCCGCCTCAGCCTCCTGAGTAGCTAGGACTACAAGTGTATGCCACCATGCCCAACAATTTTTAAAAATTTATTGTAGAGACAAGGTCTCACGATGTTGCCCAGGCCTGTCTTGAACTCCTGGGCTCAAGAAATCTTCCTGCCTCGGCCTCCCAAAATGCTGGGATTATAGGCATGAGCCATTGTGCATGGCCTGGAAGCTAAGTTTTCATGTAGGGAACGTCACTATCCCAAGACCAGGTCTCCAGAAAGTGAAGAACCAGGTTGTGACAGGAATGGTTGTCCCCCAGGGGTCCAGTGTGTACATTTGAGTCTGGGTGTAGGAAATGCCTGTTGTGGTCAACCATGAAGTTGACCACAGATGCATGTCTCCTCCCTCCTGACTCAAGTGTGGCCTGTGGACCAGCACCCTCGACACCACCTAGGGGTTGGGGAGAAGCCAGAATCTCTGCCCATCCTTTCTCCACTGTGGCAGAAGCCTGGCAGCCTCAGGTGTTTCCGGTGCCCACTGCAGCTGAAGTGCAGGTGTAGAAGGAAGTAGGTTATTGTTTGTCTCATTTATTTTTTGAGTTGGAGTCTCACTCTGTTGCCCAGGCTGGAGTGCAATCATGACTCACTGTGGCCTAGACCTCCTGGGCTCAGGTGATCCTCCCACCTCAGCTTCCCGAGTAGCTGGGACTACAGGAGCATGTCACCATGCTCGGTAAATGTTTTTATTTTTGTAGAGATGAGGTCTCGCTATGTTGCCCAGGCTGGTCTCGAACTTCTGGGCTCAAGTCATTCTTCCGTCTCAGCCTCCCAAGTAGCTGGGACTATAGGAACATGCCACCATGCTTGGCTAATGTTTTTAATTTTAATTTTTGTAGAGAAAAGTTCTTTCTATGTTGCCCAGCTGGTCTTGAACTCCTGGGCTCAAGTCATCCTCCTGCCTTGGCTTCCCTAAATGCTGAGATTACAGGTGTGAGCCACTGTGCCCGGCCTGAGCTACTGTGCCTGACTGACGACTTTTTTTTAGTAGAAAGAGCACATGCTAAAATAATGATAAGAAGTGTATAGTAAAAACATAAAGCAGTAACATGGTTGTTTATTATTGTTATCGAGTATCATGTACTGTGCATAATTGCACATGCTAGACTTCTGTACAATGGGCCATGCAGTAGGCGTGTCTACATAGCATCATCACACCTGTGAGTAACGTGCTGCGTGACAATGTTATAACTGCTACGACATTAGTAGGCGGTAGGAATTATTCAGCTCTATTATCATCTCATGGGGCTGGGCAGTGTATGTGGGCCATTGTTGACCAAAACATTGTTCTGTGGTGCCCAGCTGCACATTTAGAGGTCTCGGTGCAGCCAGAGGCTCTGAAAGGAAATAGGAAACCACCTGTTTCTATTTTCCCGCCTTAGGTTTTACTTGCCCTGCATTAATATGTACACAGTGTTTCCCAGATGTTGTCTTATGCGTATATAAGTGCACACACACTCACACCCATTTTAACCACCACGGCATAAATGCAGCTCTGCTGATCAGGACTCGGGAGAAAATTAAAGTACTCTTGTCACTGAGTGAGAATAAGGAAGTTTTTCTCTCCCCAGTTATTTCAGTAAAAGTAACATAGTGGCATCCTGTCTATTTAGTCCACGCTCTTTTAACTTATTTTTTGGCTATTAGATTTTATTTTTTTGAGTTGGAATCTCACTCTGTTGCCCAGGCTGGAGTGCGGTGGCACACTCATCGCCACCACAGCCTCAACCTGCTGGGCTCAGGCGATCCTTCCACCTTAGCCTTCCAAGTAGCTGGAACCACAGGCATGCACCACCATGCTCAGCTAATTTTTTGATTCATTGTAGAGACAAGGTCTCGTCAAGTTGCCCAGGCTGGTCCTGAACCTGGCCTCATGCAGTTCTCTTGTCTCCATTTCCCAAAGTGCTGGGATCACAGGAGTGAGCCACTGTGCCCAGTCTGGCTATTAGATTTAAGTTAATTTATTAAAGTATGACAATTGTACTTTTTTGAATTGTACATATTAAACCCAGTAGTGGGTTTCTTTTATCTTCCAGTTCATCATCTTTTTTTTTTTCTTTTTGTGTCAGGGTCTCACTCTGTCACCTAGGCTTGAGTGCAATGGCATGATCATGGCCACCGCAGCCTTGACCTGCTGGGCTCAGGGAATCCTTCTACTTCAGTCCCCCGAGTAGCTGGGACTACAGGCACGTGCCACCACCCCTGGTTAATGTTTTGGTTATTTGTAGAGATGGGGTTTTGCTGTGTTGTCCAGGCTGGTCTTGAACTCCTGGGCTCAAGCAATCCTCCTGCCTTGGCTTGCCAAAGTTCTGGGATTACAAGCATGCATCACCGCGCCTGGCTCCGGTTCATCGTCTTACATGGCCTTGGGGGCAGTTCTCCTACGAGCTAATCCCCCAGAAGGGCTGAAATTAGTACCAGGAGACAGAAGTTCAGTTTTCACATTCCTCTTTGGCTTAAGGATTCCAAAGTGACTCATGGCTATTCTCGGGTTGACAGGGAAACAAATAAAACAAAATTTCAAGTCGGGTTCTTTCTCCTGGTGGAGTCCACATCTTGGGGTCAGGGTGGGATGGATTTTCTCACAGTGTGTCTTTGCCTGCAGACGACGACCCTGGAACAAGCTATTAAAAATGCCCATGAGTGCTACGATGATGAGATTCAGCTTTACAATGACCAGATCGAGACCCTGCGGAAGGAGATTGAGGAGACAGAGCGGGTCCTGGAGAAGTCCTCCTATGACTGTCGCCAGCTGGCACTAGCCCAGCAGACCCTGAAGAATGAGCTGGACCGGTACCATCGCATCATCGAGATTGAAGGCAACAGGTGAGACAGTGTGCCCGGCTCCCCCATCAGGCTGCTTGTGCCTCCCACAGCCCTTGGTTGAGGGCCTACTGTGTGCCAGACACAGGCCTAGGCAGTGCGGACATGGCCGGAAAGGAAACGCAAAACCCCCAACTTCATGGAGCTCCAAAGCTGGTGGGGGACACAGATGAAGAACACATTTGTAACAGAGGGGGCATGGTCTACAACTTGGGCTAGGGAGGAAGTTCTGGTAGGGAGGAGGGCGGTGACCATGGGTTGTGATGGGCATGCTTTACATCTTATGTAGGGTGGTCACAAAGGCCTTGACAGTCTGCGCTTTGCCCATAGGCCTCTGGGGATATGTCCTGGCATGTGGGATGACCAGGAGTGTTGAATGAGGCACCATAGACAAGCTGCTTTACACACATCTGTACCCAAGGGGGAGTGCTCAGAGGCACTGGTGGTGTCACTGAAGCCACCTTCCCCATTCTCAGCACCTGCTTGGGCCAGTCTTGTGGCTGTCAGTACTGTGGCTATCTGGCCCCTCCATGATGGAGCTGTGACTCAAACCGCATGCACCTCAAGCCAGCTGGGAAATTGTCTCTCTTTCTCTCTCTCTCTCTCTTTCGCTCTCTCTATTTATTTTTTGAATCAAAGTCTCACTCTGTTGCCCAAATTGAGTTGGAGTGCGGTGGCAAAGTCATGGTTCATCACAGCCTCAACCTCCTGGGATCAGGTTATCCTCCCACCTCAGCCTCCCCAGTAGCTGGGACTGCAGGCACACACCACCATGCCTGGCTAATTTTTTGATTTCTTTTTTCATGGTGACAAGGTCTTGCTATGTTGGCCAGGCTGGTCTCGAAATCCTGGGGTCAACCAGTCCTCCTGCTTTGGCCTCCCAAAGTGCCAGTAGCTGGGACTACAGGCACACGCCACCATGCCTGGCTGGTCTCAATCTCCTGGGCTCAAGCAATCTTCCCGCCTCAGCCTCTCAAAGTTCTGGGATTACAGGCATGAGCCACTGTGCCAGCCTTTGTTTATTCCTCTCTCTCTCTCTCTGGCTATGTCTATCCATATCTATATCTACAGAGATTCATCAGAGGACAGGCTGAGAAGTCACCCGTGATTTTTCAATTCAGTCTAGCTGGTTTCCTGGGTTTAGATTGAATTAAAAGAGAAACCCCTGCAACTGAAGTACCCCACAAGGAGCAGTTCTCCCTTCGCTCTGGTGCCCTCTGGGCTGTGAGTGCTCCTGCATTGAGGAGGAAAAGCAAGATGTTTGTTTTCTTCCTCCAGTGATGGTCAATGCATCTGGCGTCATTCCAGAGTATACGCATGTCCTAGTGAGCACTTTCCATGTTCCTTTCGAGAATAAGCCATGGATTATACTGTTTGTTTTGAGGATGTTTTGAGGTGACTGGATAGCCCCTTCCTATATTTTGTTGAGTTGGAGTCTCACTCTGTTGCCCAGGCACGCTCACAGTCACCGCAGCCTTGACCTGCTGGGCTCAGGCGATCCTTCCGCCTCAGCCTTCCAAGTAGCTGGAACTACAGGTGTGCGCCACCACACCCAGCTACTTTTGTGATTTATTGTAGAGACAACATTTCACAAAGTTGCCCAGGCTGACCTCGAACCTCTGGACTCATGCAATCCTCTCGTCTTGGCCTCCCAAAGTGTTGGGATTACAGGCGTGAGCTAACACGCCCGGCTGGATACCTCTTTTGTTTGTGTATTTATAAGTTCTGACTGTGACATAATTTTAAATGGATAGAAAAGTTGCAAGACTAGAACATGGAACTCCTGACTACTTTCTATCCAGATTTGACAGTTGTTTACTTTTTGTCTCAATTATTTTGTCATTTTTATCTCTATTTGTATATAATATGTATGTTTTTTAAAATTTGGAGATATTGGCCTGGTATGATGGCTTACGGCTGTAATCCCAGCACTTTGGGAGGCTGAGAGGGGAGGATTGTTTGAGCCCAGGAATTTGAGATCAACCTGAACAACATAGTGGGACCTCACCTCCACTAAAACAAAAATAAAAAATGAGCTGGGCATATAGTCCCCGCTACCTGGGAGGCTGAGGTAGAAGGATCGCCTGAGCCCAGGAGGTCAAGGCTGCAGTAGCCGAGATTGTGCCACTGCACTCCAACAGAGTGAGATTCCAACTCAAAAAAAAAAAGAAAGAAAATGTAAAAAAAATTAGAGAGGGGGCACACTTCATCAATAAGGGTATCTGATCTCAATCAAGTGAAGTGGGGACCAAAGTGAGGCCCAAACTTTACCTGTACAGTGACCACTTGTATACCTAACCCTGAATTGTACCCCACATCTTTTTTTTTTTTTTTTAATAATTAATCAGTATTTTTATTATAGTTTTGTGGGGTACAGTTAAGGGTTAGGTGTACAATTACGTTTCATTCAGACACCCTGTTGATAAGAGGTGTTTTCCCAGCCCCAGACAGATATTTGCTACTGTTAATCCCATCTCCCTCCCCCCCTGTACCCCACATCTTTAAAACAAAAAATAAAAATTGGATATCATCATATCCTGTTTTCCATAAATACTTCAACTTGGGTTGGCTACTCTTTAAATACAAACAAACAAAAGCCGTATCTAACAGAAAAATGACATTTTAAACTTATAAACAATTTCCATGGTGTATATTTTATAGTGATGTTTATGACTCGAGCTCAGATTAATCATTCTTTACATCCTTATTCAGGGGGTAAATGTGTGTGTGGCTGTTTGACGTTATTATATATAATTCCCGAGCAGTTTGATCTGGATAAGCTGTTTCTGCTTCTTAACATTAGAGAGTCACTCCTGTCCTGACCCCCTCGTTGGCTTGTTCTTTCTGGTTCTTTCTGCAGGCTGAGCTCTGCCTTCATTGAGACTCCCATCGCCCTGTTCACCCCGAGTCATGGAGTCTCTCTCAGCTCTGGATCCGGTGGGAAAGGTAACACTTCCCACGCTGGCTTCTGCTTCCCTCTGTCTTGAAAAGCTGGAAAAACTAAGTGGCTTTCTTCCTGAATTTTTTTTTTGGATTCAGGATCTCACTCTGTCACCCAGGCTGTAGTGCAGTGGCACGATCATGGCTTACCGTAGCTTCTACCTCCTGAGCTCAGGCGATCCTCCCGCCTCACCCTATGACTACAACCACATGCCATCATTCCTGGCTCATTTTTTGATTTTTTTGTAGAAACGAGGTCCAGGCTGGTCTCAAACTCCTGGGCTCAAGCAAACCCCCTCCTCGGCCTCGCAAATTGCTAAGATTACAGTTGTGAACCACTATGCCCAGTCTTTCTACCTGACTTTAACATTCATGTTCCTTTCCGACCTGTCTGGAACTTAAATGCTTTTAAGGGAGAGAGGACTCGTTCCCTCCCTCTCTGGTGTGCTAAGTGACCGAGCTAATACTTTTCTGGGGAGAAAAATTGGCTGGAGGGACAGGGCACCCTAGGAATGCCACCCTTGAACACCAGGCATTTAACTGGGGGAATAATACAATTCAGTATTCATGACTTGACAGTGTGAAGAAGCCGAAAGTGGTGGACACTGAATGGTATTTTTTCTCCCCCAACTGAAGTGAACTAGTCTGTGCAAAGTTGCATGCATATTCCAGTGCCTGGGCAGAGTAGATGCTTTATTATTCCTCTTTCTTCCCTTCAAACCTGAGCAGAAGCAGCTCAGTCGGCAGGTGTGACTTCTGCCTACCATGTTGGGTCTGTGAGATGTCACCTTGTGTCGACATCTTCCAGATCTGAGCTAACCCAGCTTTGGGTTTGGGAGGAAAGAGAAGCTCGTCATGTGGGTCCTGTCCTGGTGTTTACAGGGCCTGGAAGTCACTTCTCCTGGACTTTGTCTTTGGGAGGGTTATGGTCCTGCAGCCAGACACCCTGGCTTGACTCTCGGCCATGCGGCCCTGTGTGGGGCCTTCCTCAGAAGGGTCCCAGGTTGGCTTAACGCTCCACTGTTGCCGTCTGAAGTTCTTACTAATTCTGAACAGCAGTCTTGCATTTTTCTCTGGCGCTGGGCCTGAGGTTCCTGGGAGCACTCCCTTTTCAAACACCAGCTCTGGCGACTGTCCCCGTGACCTGTTCCTCTCTGTGTGCCCCCTACCCCCTGCCATGGCTTTGTGACCCACGTCTGCTGTTGTCTGCTCTCTCTGTTGTGGGTCAGCCTGTGCCAGGTGCCTGAGCTTGGTCTGTCTTGGTCTGTGGTTCCTGGTGGGGAGGACGGAAAGGACCTCTGGGTTAAAAACTTCAAAACTGACTTTTTGAGTGGAGCTGGGAAGCCTCCTAGATTATGCAGGGTGAGATTTTTGTGTGCTTTCTTCAACTTCTAGTTTTTCCTTTCAGCTAGTCTGAAGAAATGAGCATGGCTCCGGGGACAGGGGATTCTAGGGGTTTCTGAATTGAATAGTGTCATGGCTTCCTCTTTTGGCCTAGGAGGAAGGGGATGCTGATGAAAGGGAGATGTTTCATTAGTGTGAGACAAGTGTGGGCTGAGGGAGCCCGGGATGAGTCCATTCCCAAGCCTGAGGCCACCAGGGCATGTGAGAGGGCCCCAGGTAGCTCTGCCGTCTCCTCTCTCCTTTGAGGAAGTCAGAGGAGAAAATGACTTTGAGGAATGGGCTTTTCTGGTGCTGTCTGTGGATCTCAGGATCCTCTGTGACTCAGCAGGAGCTGCAGTGGGGGCTGGGGCCGTGGCTGAGCACAAGTGTCAGAGCAGTGGTGTTGTGTGTCTCAGTACGCTCTGCCTGGGGTGATGGTATGCCATGAGTGTCAGAACACGGAGTCCCTTCCCCTCCCTCTGGAAACCCAGAGGGACCCAGTGACTTGCCCAGAGCCACCCAGTGACTTGCCCAGAGCTGAATGGCAGAGCTGAGATCTCCCCGTTGCTTCCACCCAAGATGTAGGAACCCCGCCCGGTGCTGCGTGTTGGTCTCTGAGAGAGCTGGCCTATTTTCCAGCCAACGTGTTTTCTTTCTCCTGCATGGACAATAACACTTGACTCACTGCCTGTATGTTCCTTCAGATCTCTCCAGGGCCGTGCAGGATATCACTACAGCAAAACCAAGACAGAAAGGCCTTCCCAAGAGTGTCCCAAGGAGAAAGGAGATTCTAGCTAAAGACAAGGCAGATGGCACTCTGGAGGATGCGCCCTTGAAAAGTCTGGAAGACACGAAGCTGGTGCAGGTGACGCTTAAAGAGGAGGGTGAACCCAAGTTTGAACTCGAAGGTAAAGAGGCAGGTCTCCCAACACAGGAAGGGACCCCGGAGGATGTGCCGGATGGAGGACACATCAGCAAAGCCTTCGGAAAGCTGTACAAGATGGTCAAGGAGAAAGTGAGAGGCCCCAGGGAACCTGAGACCCCCGCTGACCTCTACACCAAAGGGCGTCATGTGCTGGTCACGGGGGATGCCAGTTACGTGGACCCTGATTTCTGTGTGTCCTCCGTCCCGGCCAAGGGTGGAGTGGCTGTTTCCACTGAGGAAGACTCTGTGCTTCTTGACGGCCACGTAGAGCCCTCTCCTGAGCAGCCTGAGCCCCCTTTGGAGAATGGGCAGGAGGGCCCCCCGGAGAAAGAAGGTGGACCCCCAAGTGAGCAGCCGGCTATAGACAAGGAGGCTGAGCCAAGCATCACAGAACTGAAAGGCCCTGTGGAGAAAGTCGATGGTGAGGGAGAGGATGAGGGGTCTGAGAGACCCAGTCCCGTGGTCATACCCGGTCCAGAGGAACCATCTACACCTGAGTCTCAGATGCCTGGGGCCAGTCCAGATGGAGTGGAGGTGACTGGCACTAAGAGCAAAAGCCTGCCGGAAAAAGGCCCTCCCAGGGCACTGGCGTACAAGACGGTGGAAGTTGTGGAATCCATCGAGAAGATTTCCACGGAGAGCATTCAGACATATGAAGAAACTGCTGTGATTGTGGAGACCATGATTGGAAAGACCAAGTCAAACAAGAAAAAACTGGGAGAGAAAGGCTCTTAAAATGCTCAGGCTTGAGTGGAGGACATATCCCTGGGGTCCTGCTGTTGAGGTCCTGCTTTGATACTTTAGAACAAATGATACAAGGGTGAGGGTTCCTGTTTGGATTAGACCGTAGTTGACCCGCCTGGCGTTGCCAGTGAAGCCTTCATTAAAACGTTTTCTTTGCTTGCACACCCTTTGTCTAATTAATAGCGGTCTTGGGGATGTAGGTAGGTCAGCCATGCTCAGGATGAGGGTGCTCTGTTGATGGCCAATCAGCCACCCTTGTTTAGGAAAGAGACATGCTCTCCATCATGGTTCTTTTATTTTTTTGAGACAGGGTCTGTCTCTGTATGCCCAGGCCGGAGTGCAGTGGCATGATCATGGCTCACTGCAGCCTCAATCTCCTGGGCTCAGATGATCCTCCTGCCTCAGCCTCCTGAGTAGCTGGGACTACAGGCGTGCACCTCCATGCATCTGGCTAATTTTCTTTTGGTCGAGACAAGGTCTCACTGTGTTGCCCAGGCTGATCTCGAACTCCTGGGCTCAAGCGATTCTCCCTCCTTGGCCTCCCAAAGTCCTGGGGTTACAGGCATGAGCCGTCACGCCCGGCAACAGTTCATTTAAAGACTCATTAGAGACTCAGATGGTGCCTGGATTTCACACAAAAATGCTAGTGAATGAGGCACTGGCTCATTTTCATTCCATGTCAAACATAAGCTCGTGGTCACACGGAGGAGTGTTTTTAGTAGAGATAAGATGATTTAAGGCGTCTGTTTTGGTGTGAGTTCCCCCAGAAGCTGATCCTGAAGCAGAGATGTGAATGTCAAGTTTCACTGGAGTATGATCCCAGACTGTACCAGAAGGGGAATGGAGAGGGATGCCAGGAAGGCAGGCAACCAGCAGAGGGCGCTACCACATCAGGCAGCTCGCACAGCGGCCACGGGCTGGGGCCTACTGGGGAACTCTGGGAGGCTGAGTAGACACGCGCCTCACTTATCCTCAATTATCCTCCTGGGGGTGAGGGAGCTGGGGTATTGATGCACCAAGTCCCGTCGCTCAGTGGGAAGTGTGCTTCCAGGGGCCAAGAAAGCCCGCAGGCATTGAAGTGCAGGTGCTGGCATTTGGAGTCAGACCTAGAAATATGCGGGAGTAGGAAAGGTCAGGGGTAGAGGTAGAGTACCAGGGTCATCTGCCACCCCACGTGTACCGAGGTACTTTTGTATGAGATACTTAGGGTCAGGCGGTGGCTCATGTCTGTAATCTCAGCACTTGGCGAGGCCAAGGCAGGAGGATTGCTTGAGACCAGGAGTTCAAGGCCAGCCTGGGCTACATAGCATGACCCTGTCTCTACCAAAAAAAATTTAAAAATCTAACTGGGTGTGGTGGCATGCACCTGTATCCCTAGATACTCAGGAGACTGAAGCAGGAGCCTAGGAGCTCAAGGCTGCAGGGAGCCATGATTGTGCCACTGCACTCCAGCCTGGGTCACAGAGCGAGACCTTGTTTCAAAAAACAAAAACAAGCTGGGTGTGGTGGCTCATGCCTGCAATCCCAGCACTTTGGGAGGTGGAGGAAAGAGGATTGCCTGAGCCCAGGGGTTTGAGACCAGCCTGGGCAACATGGTGAGACCTTGTTTCTACAATCAATAAAAAAATCAGCTGGGCATGGTGGTGCATGCCTGTAGTTCCAGCTACTTGGAAAGCTGAGGCAGAAGGATTACCTGAGCACAGTAGGTTGAGGCTTCAGAGGCCATGAGTGTGCCACTCCCCTCCATCCTGGGCGATAGAGTGAGACTCTGACTCAAAAACGAAAACAAATCCCCAAATCCAGAAAACAAAAAATGAGATACTTAAAATGTTCTGATTCAGAGACTGTAGCCCTAGGTCACGTTTCAAGAAGCAAACTCAAATATCACTGCGGTTCCTGGTACAGAGGTTATTTCCTTAGTCTGACAAGCATTTATTGAGCATCTACTGTGTGCCAGACAGTGTGCTATGCTGATCAGAGGAGATTTTTCAGATTCACTAATGATCCCAGTAGCCATAATGTAGTGCCAACACACATGAGTGTGTGTGTTCTCCTATGTGTACACACACACACACATGCACGCAGATGCTTACTGTGTCACATCCTAAGAAACAGAAATTACTCTAAACCAGAATCTTTGCAAAAATTTCTCTGCCACCCATAGGCATCTATTTTTCCATCAACAGCCCAAAAATACGTCTTCACTTATGCCAATTAAAAAATCTATCCTTCCTTTTGTAGACAAGTCAAAATACATTAGAGACACCGGGCAAATGTGCAGAAATGGATTATTGTATTGGCCTAAAAGAAAAAAGTATCTGGCAAGACAGCCGCACATTGTTAGAGAAAATGGACAGAGTCACAAATAACATCTGTTATTTCCTTGTAACAAATGATAGAATACCATATGGAATCACCTTTCCTTTCTATTTAGAGCTTTAAACAATCTCGTTCTGGATTCATCTGAAGTTTTGATTTCAAGAAAGGAATAGGCTTTTGTTGTTCTTTCTAAAAGATGTATGAAGAGTCCACTTCATTGCGCAGTGTTGAAATATTTATAACTAAAAAGCTTAAGAGACAATGATGGGGGCTGTTAGCTGGAGCTGGTATGAATGTGGTAGTTTGGGCCTGTGTGTGTATTATATTCAGTATCAACAGCCATTGCAGATCTTTCTTTTTCTTCCTTATGTCTTTTTATATTTTGGACTGTACGTTCAGTTAATAGTCTTCTTTTTTCTTTTTCTTTTTGAGTTGGAATCTCCCTCTGTTGCCCAGGCTGGAGTGCAGTGGCAGGCTCACAGCCACTGCAGCCTCGACCTGCTGGACTCAGGCAATCCTTCCACCTCAGCCTTCCAAGTAGCTGGAACCACAGGCATGTGCCACCACACCCAGCTAATTTTTCGATTCATTGTAGAGACGGGGTCTCACCAAGTTGTCCAGGCTGGTCTCGAACCCATAGGCTCAGGCAATTCTCTTATTTCCACCTCCCAAAGTGCTGGGATTATTAGCATGAGCTACCACGCCCAGCCAATATTCTTCTTTGAGAAGGCAGGGGCTATCGTTTTATAAAGAAAGATCATTTTTGTTTTATATTCAATCTGTCAAGAAAAAGCAGTTGGGATCTGTCCTGTGCCAGGTGGGGTTCTGGGCGCTGGGGAGACAGCAAGGAGCAATCAGACATGGTCCTGAGCTCGCAGACATGATGTTCTGGTGGGGAAGAAGGGAAAGGTACAGGCAAGCAGATAACTCAGCGAAAGTTAGAGACGATACCGGGAAGGAAATCAGATAGGATGACATGTGAAGAGGGGCTGGGGGTCTACCCTGGATTGAGAGGTCAAGAGAAGACCTCGTGGAAAAGGTGACGGGATCTGAACAACAACATGGGGCCTCAGTGCTGAGTGTGTGAGGGAGGAGCATTTCAGACCGGGAGAAACGCAGGTGCAAAGGCCCCGGGGCAGGATTGCCCCTGGCCTGTTCAAGAGGAGAAATAAAGGGGACTGGAGGGGGCAATGGGAGGTGGTGAGGTCAAGGCAGGCAGGGGCCAGGTAAGCACCACTTCCTGGCTGGCTCACCTCGGCCTGAAAGTTGGGCCCAAGGTGTGAAACGTGGGGCTGACTGTGATGGACACTTTGGGCCTAGGCTTTGTCTCTCCCTCAGGGATTTGCCCCACATGCCCATTTCCTTGATGGCTACTCTCCACTGACCGTGTTGGTTCTGTCTTCCCCTGCAGAGCTGCAGAATGGGTGTATTTCCTGACTTTTCCTCTCCCCAGGGTCTCTGAAAACAAAAACTTGTGGTTTTATGAGAAGAATTTCTTGTTAGTAAGCACAGACCTTCCAATAGCATCTAGGTCTCAGTTCCTTCTTCTCTGATGCAAACACAAGTCTAGCCTGGGAGCAAGACTCCTCAAAGAGCCACGTGGCACCTCCTCACCCCACTGGCTTTCCGGGCATGGGAGTCAGCGGCCTGTCAGAACCTGGCCCTGGCTGTTCTGGTCATGCCTGCACTCTGAGGCTTCTCACTGCAAGCATGTGCGACTCTACCTTGGGGTTTCCTGTGGCCACGGGGGCATGTTTAGTCCATATACTGGGCAGGATGGGCGTCCTGGGAACCTCACGCTCCTGGGAGCAGCCCTCAAACAAGGATGGACAGGACCTGATGGGTCAATAGCCTGGCTTTCTCCGGAACAACTTTTAGACACATTCTACATAGTGTCTTGGAAGATTCTGGTGGTTGGAGCCTTAGATGTCCCCGAAGAAACCCACTTATCTTTTTTTTTTGAGCTGGAGTCTCACTCTGTCGTCCAGGCTGGAGTGCAGTGGCACACTCACAGCCACCCTAGCATCAACCTGCTGGGCTCAGGTGATCCTTCGGCCTCAGCCTTCCAAGTAGCCAGAACTACAGGCACGCGCTACCACATCCAGCTAATTTTTGATTTATTGTAGAGACAAGGTCTCACCAAGTTGCCCAGGCAGGTCTCAAACCTGCGGACTCAGGCAATCCACTCACCTTGGCCTCCCAAAGTGCTGGGATTACAGGCTGAGTCACTGAGCCACTGTGCTCTGCACTGGGCTCCTTTCCTGTCTTGTTTTCCCACTTCCCCTACATAGATGCTTCCTTTCAAATAAATGACTTGCCCGACACTCCTTGTCTCAGGGTTGGGGGGACTCAACCTTGAACAGCAAATTGGTGCCTGCTGCTTTCACCTGTCCAGCAATGCCTCCCACTCCTCAGGCAGCAGCTCTGGGTTTTCTTTTTTTCGAGTTGGGGTCTCATTCTGTCACTCAGGATGGAGTGCAGCGGCACAATCACAACTCACTGCAGCCTCGACCTCCTGGGCTGGGTGATCCTCCCACATCAGCCTCCCGAGCAGCTGGGACTACAGGCACACACCACGACGCTGGGCTAGTTTTTTGTTTTGTAGAGACAAGTTCTCGCTATGTTGCCCAAGCTGGTCTCAAACTCCTGGGCTCAAGCAGTCCTCATTCCTCAGCCTCCCAAAGTGCTGGGATGACAGGTATAAGCCACCCCGCCTGGCCCAGCTCTGGTTTTGCACTGAGGAACTGCTTCTCCTGAACTGGATATAGCCCCGGTCAGAATGTCAGTCAAGTCAGTCAGTCACCCTGCCTTCCTCTGGCCTTGGGGTGGGCAGCTGACCCAAA